ACAGAATGATTCCAATCACGAGAGGCCATTAGACATCCCCCCCTTTTTTTTAAATTTAAACACTTGTCATTTTCTGCTAGCTTCATTCTGTTTTACTTAAGTTTTCATTCTTTTTTTAAATTATGTAATTCCCCATTCTATTTTGGATATAGCTTTAGAAATTTTTTTTAATATTTATTTATTTATTGTGTATACAGTGTTCTGCCTGCATATATGCCTGCAGGCCAGAAGAGGACACCAGATCTCATTACTGATGATTGTGAGCAACCATGTGGTTGCTGGGAATTGAACTCAGGACCTCTGAAAGAACAGTCAGCACTCTTAACCACTGAGCCATCTCTCCAGCCCCCTAGCTTTAAAAATTTTAGGTGGAAACTTAATCAAATAAAGCAAACCCTGTTGGAGAGATGTCTCAGTGGTTAAGAACATTTGTTACTATCGTAGAGGACCCTGGTTTTAGTTCCCCAGTACCCATATGGCAACTCACAACCATTGTACCTGCAGTTCCAGGGGATCTGATGCCCTCTTCTGACCTTCACTGGTACTGCACACGTGTGGTGCACATAAATGATGCAGGCAAACACTCAAACACATAAAAATACATAAAATCATAGAACTTTTTAAAATTAAAGCACTTTGGGGCTGGAGAGATGGCTCAGAGGTTAAGAGCATTGCCTGCTCTTCCAAAGGTTCTGAGTTCAACTCCCAGCAACCACATGGTGGCTCACAACCATCTGTAATGGGGTCTGGTGCCCTCTTCTGGCCTGAAGGCATACACACAGACAGAATATTGTATACATAATAAATAAATAAATATTTTTTAAAAATTAAGGCACTTTATTTTATACTCTAGCAATGCGGACATAGGAAAAATATAATAGAGCATCACCTTAGGCCATTGGGAAACAGGTATTTACATTACAATTCATAACGGTTGCAAAATTACAGTTATGAAGTAGCAATGAAAATAATTTTATGGTTGGGGTTCACAACAGTATGAGGAACTGTATTAGAAGGTCATAACAACAGGAAGGTTCAGAACCACTGGTCTAAGCCAAGCTTATAAACCTTGGCCCTGTAGAGGGAGACTGTGCTTTCGTTGCCTGGCTGCCCAGACCTGAATAATCACACAAAAATTATATTAATTACAACTGTTTGGCCAACAGCTCAGGCATATGCCTAGCTAGCTCTTACATCTTAAATTAACCTATTTTTATTATTTTATATTTTACCACAAGGTTCATGACTTGTTACCTCACATGCTTCTTAGGCAGCTACATGGCGTCTCCCTGACTCCGCCTTCTTTCCTCCTCTATCTCTGCTTGGATTTCCCGCCTTACTATATTCTTGCTATATTCTGCCCTGCCATAGGCCAAAGTAGCTTCTTTATTACCCAATGGTGATAAAACATATTCACAGCATACATCACGGGCAGGATGGTATGCTCCTTCTATAGTCAGCTGTGGACATCTTTGGCTGGACAATGCTTTGTTGTGTGTGTTACAAGTTTTAGTTCATCCCAGGTCACTACCCATAGGAAATTAGCTGCACCACGACAGCCAAAACTGTCCCAGATACTGCTGAATGTCCTGGAGGCACATTTGCTGTGCCCGAGACTCCTTGCCTCAGTCTGGATAGTTTGATTGACAAAATGGCGTGACATTAAGACATATGTGTAGAGAAAAGAGCCAGGCTTGCTGTCTGGACCACGGAGGTGGAAAGAGGTGACAAGCCAGACAGCTGCACCCTGAACCTCCCACCATGTCTCATTTGGTCCCAAGACATGCCCACAGTTGTGAAGATATCCCCAACCCATTCCAAGGCAAGAGTGTGGAATTGTGTTCTTTGCTTTCTTACTTCTCAATAGTCATTTGGACACCTGCATGGCATTTCATCAGTAAGAAAGTGAGGGGCAGAATTCAATGCCAGCGCTTTACTGGTCAGTCACTTGAAGAGAAAGTATAGGGGGGGCAGGATCATTTGTGCCTTACATACTATTCTGGGTTTCCTCCCTGAGGACTAACTCCACACACCAGAAATAGAGGCTCTTCTTCTCTTTGCTTTGTTTCACCAGCGCGTGTGAGAAAAAAGGACCAGACAGGAGAGTGAGTGGCCTGGGTCTTTTCTGAATTCTTTCGGCAAATTGAAAACCCTTGTACGCAGGTAGACTCTTGGAGTGTTGTTGGGCTTGTTATGATAGGGTGCGGGTCTGGGATGGGATTTGTCCTCTAACTACAGATGTTCGCAGCCATGTACAGACACCTTTGTTGGGGTGGTATGTTGTGTGCTCTGAAGAAAGGGCATGTTCACTTCCCCAACCAAATTAATCATTCACACAGGAAAATGGGAGTGTTAGAATTTAAAAGAGAAACACCTTGGGGGTTTATTTTTCAAGAGGAAAGCAGACTGCCACATGCACGCAGCATGGATGCCCCTGGAGTCTTGAAGCTGGGCCTCCACTGTCCCACAGAAGAGTGCAGCTACTCACACACCTTGGACCAAAGAGGAGTGCTCTGTCTACTCTCTTTGACCCAGTGTGCAGCTTTGGGAGTGGTGAGGGAGGAAGGGGACAACTCCCAGCCAGCCGGATCAACTCCGGCCAGTGGTGACAGGGGCTACCTCACAGCCAAGATCTGTTCTTATCCAGCACATCTGGCTGTTTTTACCTTATTTGTACCAAGAAAAATAAAATTCTTCCTTCCAGACACTCGAGAGACCTAACCGCCTGCGGGGAGAGCCCCGTTTGGGCAGGCAAGGATGGATGCAATCACCGTTACTTGTCGAATGGAACATGGCTAGAATAAGGTGAGAAAGAAGTGACATCAAGCCACACAAATCAAAATTCTATATTAAGTCCATGGGTCAAAGGGAAAATAGCACACAGGGAATTTCTTGCCAATCTGGAATGGTGTGGCGCTCTAAGATAGGTACGAGTGCCTTTTGGCTGCGTTTTGCATCAGGAAAAAGAGTAGCATTGAAAGGAAGCCAATCGAGAGGAATAAAGCTTGGCTATGCATGCACATCTTCAACCTGGGCAAAGTTACCAGGCCAGGTGCAGTGGCACATGCCTGTAATCCCCGCACCTGGATGGTAGAAGCAGGAGGACCTGTTCAAGGTTATCCCCAACTGCATAGAGAGTTCTAAACCAGTCTCAGCTATATGAGGTCCCAACTCAAATATAAACCAGTATAAAGATGTGTGCAAAAAGACATGTTCTTTGTGCAACCCAGCGCACAGTGCTCAGTGTGAGTGCTGATACATATAAGATTATGATGCTCAGAGCAGCTCAGAGCAGTGGTGGTGTCGATAATGAGGCTGCTTTGAAGAATGAAGAGTTGATCGTGGGGCAGTGGTGGCACATGCCTTTAATCTCAGCACTCAGGAGGCAGAGCCAGGCGGATCTCTAGAGTTCGAGGCCAGCCTGGTCTACAGCACGAGTTCCAGGACAGCCCAGGCTACCCTGAGAAACCCTGCCTCAAAAACACAAGGGAAAAAAAAAGAAGACTTGAGGGGCCCTTAGATGGCACAGTGGTTTAAGAACTCTTGCCACTCTGGTTAAGTTCCTACAGTGAGCCTCCGCCACCTAAGGATTCCTCAGCCTTCTCAAACAGCACCTGTGGAGGCATTTCATACGCAAACCTCAGCATTGCAGAGCTCCACGAAATTCGTCATAACAATATCAATGTAGTCAAACTTTTATGACTTCCAATTCATCTGTGTAATTTTCACCTTCAATTTGAAATGTTTTTTCCTAACAAACTGTATTAGTCTGTTTTTGTTAATAATCAAAATACCTCTCTCTCACACATATGTATATATGTATGTGTGTCTGTATACACACACACACATATGTGGAATAATCTTTATATACACTGTAAAGATGTGCCTCTGCCTAAGGTGCCTTATGATTGGTTTAATAAAGAGCTGAATGTCCAATAGCTAAACAGGAGAGAATAGGCAGGATTTCCAGGAAAGGGGGAACTCAGGGAGAAGAATCTAGGCACACGGATTTTGCCTGCAGACTCAGAGCAAGTCGGACGTGGCACACTAAGGAAAGATAAAGAGCTATGTGGCAGAATGCAGACTAAAGATACGGGTTAATTAAGTTATAAGAGCTAGTTGGAGAAAAGCCTAAGCTAAAGGCCCAGCTTTCCTAATTAATAATAAGTCTCTGTGTCATTATTTGGGGGCTGGTGGTCCCAGCGAGAAAGAGGTGTGCTTAGGAGATGGCTCGGTAGGTAAAAGCACTTGCTAACCTTGGCTTTGTTTTGCCTTTTTAGTTTTGTTTCATTTTTTTTGAGTCAGAGTCCCTCCCTGTAGCCCATTCTGGCCTCACACTCACTGTGTAGCCCAGGTTGGCCTTGAACTTGCTGTTCCCCACCTGCCTCACCCCCAGACTGCTAGCACACCTGGCATGACCTTGTGTCTAGAATTCTATGATGAAGGGCTGGCCTAGTTGGCTTTCTATTGATATGGTGAACACCGTGACCAAACGCAACCTGGGGAAGAGAGGGTTTGTTTCATCTTAGTACTATAGTCCCTTTAAAAGGGAAGTCGAGGCAGGAACTCAAGGTGGGGAGCTGGATGCAGGAACTGAAGCAGAGGTCACAGAGGAATGCTGCTACTGGCTTGCTCCCCGTGACTCACTCAGCCACAATCACCTGGCCGGTAATGGTACTGTCCACACTGGGCACTCAGGCACACACACATACACATAGAATAAAATAAACCTTTTAAAAGGACGTGTCTGTTTTACTGTGTTGCACATAATTCTAAACACCTTCTGTTGCACAAGATTACCAAGCAAATTCTGCATAACTCAGGTTTTAGCAGGTAAAGAGTTATCTTTACCCTCTGCCTTTGTTTTAATGACATTGCTCTTATGGCCCTATTTTCAGTATTATCTTAAAAGGCATTATGTAGCTGGGCAGTGGTGGCACACCTTTAATCCCAGTACTTGGCAGGCAGAAGCAGGAGGATCTCAGTGAGTTCAAGGCCAGCCTGGTCTATAGAGTGATTTCCAGGACAGTCAGAGCTACACAGACAAACCTTGTCTCTGGGAATAAAAACAAAACAAAATAAAACACATTCATTATGCATGTGCCCTGTGGATGAACAGCTACACTGACATCATAAATTTTCCAAAAGAATGTTGTAGTATCATGCATGAATGAGCCAGCCACCCTCTCTGATCAGCCAGCCCTGGAAGTTTCCTGAGTTGATGCATTCATGCATTCACAGAGCTAATGCCTGTGGAATTCCTCCCACGAACAGGCACTCTGAAAAAGTGTTAGCAGCCATCCAAAGGTCATCATTGTCAACACTTAAAGTAGGCTGCCTGCTGGAGTAAGAGATAGAGAGATGCAGTGTAGAGCTGGGGGGTGACATGGTGGTAGAGGACTTAGCGGCACGTCAGGAGGCTGTAGGCTTGATCCCCTGCAGCAAAAAAAAAAAAAAAAAAAGGTAGCATCATCAGATAACGAGCGAACTTATGAGTAGATACCAGGGAAGCTGGTGGCCCAGGGACTAGAGAGGTCAGCTAGCTCTGATGGAGTCTGACTCACTTCCATCATTTTCAGCTCTAAAGGGCGCTTCCTCCCTCATCCAGCCAGGTCCACTTTGTCCTAGGTACACGCCACTGCCATTTACTTGGGCTCCTTTAAAAAAATCCTTACCCCAGCGCTCTAAGGCCTCCAGGCAGGAGATTATCCCTGAGTGTTTAAGGGTGTGTAGGGGTCCCGAGGGTCTCTTTGCATGGGCAGGAAATCCCCACGGAATAACCACAATAACGTAAAGCCAACAAGACACAAGGAATATGGACAAGCCTTTATTTCAAACAGCCCTGAAAGATTATACCATGAAGAAGCTTAAAATTCTTCCTTCCTTCCCTCTCTCCCTCCCTCCCTCCTTCCCTCCCTCCCTCCTTCCTTCCTTCCTTCCTTCCTTCCTTTCTCTTTTTTTTCTAATTAGTCAGTTCCTCCTCAGAGTAATCTAGAAGGAGTCTGTTCCCCTGTTGGAGTCTGGGCTGGTGTCTGGTTGGCTGGCCCAACCTTGTTGTCATGCCAACATGGTGCTTTTTTTTTTCTTTTCAACTGCCTCTGGAGAAGGGTGACCCACTGTCCCCAGCTTCAAGCCACTTGCCATACCTCTGACCCACACCCAGTGACCACCCCAAAGCAAGAACAGGGAGAAGCTGTGACCAGTTTGGAAGGACCCCCAACCACAACTGAGAACAGATTTCTGTCAAAGCACTTACGGGCTGAGGATAGACTTGGTTCCTCCGGAGACTGGAGAGCAGGGGAGTAAATAAATAGTGGAAATGATCATCCTTGTGCAGAGAGCTGGAATCCTGGAGACGTGAATTTATTTTCTTTGCCACTCAGGGGAGCCAGAGACTCATGAACATCATGCACAATCTGCCAAAGAGGCGGGTGGGGAGAAGCAGTGTTTCGCTTTGGACTCAGTCACAGGCGATAAAGAAAAAAACAAAAAACCAAGCAAGCAAAGAAACAGAACAAAGCAAAATGCAACACTAGCAATAACAACAACAAAAACCATGACGATAGAAAAGGAAAGGCATTCATTCACACACCAGGAGCTCCCAGGGAGCTGGTGGTTTATTCTCGGCCTTGGCTCTCCAGGGGCTCAGGGCTTGCTCGGCTCTCACTGTGTCCACTTCTCTGAGGTCTGCTTTGCTGGGTCCATCCCCGAGATCTCCAGGGTAACACCCTTATAGCCGGGAAGACAGGACCAAGCGGGTGTCATCTGCCTCCCTCGTGTGTCCTTCCAGCCAGCTCCCAAATAATGACGGAGACCTCTTTTTTATTATGAAAGCTCAGCCTATATCTTAGGCTTGTTCTTAACTAGCTCTAACTTAAATTAACCAATTTATATTCATCTATGTTGTAACACGTGACTTTTTACCTCTCTTCCATCTTGCACCTCCTGTTTCCTCTCCGTGTCTCCTGGCGTCCCTGCCTTTCTTCTTCCCAGAGTCCTCTCTGTCTCTGGAAGTCCCACCTAACATCTTCCTGCCTAGGTACTGGCCTTTCAGCTTTTTATTATACCAGTCACAGGAAGTACATCTTCACACAACATACAAATATTCCGCCACAGGCAGGGGCACTTGGCCTCTGTGGGTGCAGGAGTGTTAACCCCAGAGGACCTCAGGACTCCTGCAGAATGGGTAGGAGTGGTGTCACAGATGTAGAGAATAAAGCCCTGGGTGACCGAGGTGGGAGAAACGGTAGCATCTCAGCCCACTGCTGGGTACCAAGCCTGCGTTTTCAGCTCTCCGTTCAGGAGCCCTCGTAGACAGCTGCCTGCCATGCTCAACTCTGTTTTATATCTGAGAGTGAAGAGCTTCAGAAATCCGGGCAAGAGGTTGAGTCAAATTTGAACTCTGAAGCCCGCGCTTGATCAAAGGGGAGGGAGAGAGTGGGTGAGGACTGGGGCAGGCAGGTGTGGGGAGTGAGAGGAAGTGCCTTTGAGGACCGGTTACCCTATCTTTAGGCATACTTAAGCCCCTGGTTCTGGACAGGTAAATTCAGAAGGACATGGTGGCGCTTAGGTTTGCATTAGCATCAGAAAGTAGTGGGGCTGATAGAGGATAAAACTTTGAGTCTGGGTGGGGTAGGGAGACAGCCCTAAGAGTGGCCTGGAGGCAGCTCTCAGAAGATAAATCCAATCCCAGGAGGCTCCTTTTCCACTGGTGGCTTTAGTCTCATTCCTCATGCTCCCTGTTAATTAGATCAAGTTAGTAACCCTTACAGGGGATTGTACAGAGTTCCGTGGGGACAGGGGCTTAGCACAGATAGCTTAGAAGGCAGCTGGGATGGAGGAGCCGGATTAGCCGGGAGGAAAGCAGTTCACTGTTCTTAGTGTTTGATTAGAAGCCATGAGCTAAAGGGCTCTGGAAAACGAGGGACTGCAACAAGAAAGCTGGTGTCCCAGATTCTCCGTGAACGGAGGAGAATGTTCCAGGGCACCTGTGCATGGGAAATGAGCTAACAGTGAGTCCGTGCGACCTGGAGACAGACAGAAGCCGCAGCCAGAGGAACCCTGGCCTCACTCATAAAAATTTAATCCATCTCTGACTTGACTCTAGTTCTTGGAGGACCATAGCCTGGCTCCATGGAAATTGTTTTTATGCTGTTTGTAATGCCTTAGGTGTCTTTGGGTTTTGCCTAAGAATTTTGAAATATCAAACACTGCTTCAGCTGTTATAAAGAGAATACAAAGAAAAGGTAGTTAAATGACTTTTATAAATTGTATAGGGTTGATGGCTTTTTGGTGGCACCAAGCACCCCATAGTCCGGCCTTGGCACAGCCACCTCTGTTAGTTTCCATGGAGAGCAAAGTTAGGCAACAGCACTCCATTCTGTGAGACTGTTACTTTGGATTGCAGAGTGGATGTCTTGGACAGCAGTCAAGGGGGTCCTACCTAGGTTAGCAGCAGACCAGGAGGCTTCTTGCCTTTGCATCTGCAAGCGTTTACGGCTCTCCCATCGGCACGTCACAGTCATTGAGTGTCCAGAATGTGCCTGCTCAGTGCCAGGCATTGTTCTATGAATTGGCTCTCTAGTGGTAAACAGTGCAGACAAAATGTTTGCCCTAGCGAATATTACAGAAAAATGAAGGAACAGCTTATGGTAAGTGTTGTGAAGAAACTAAAGTGGAATAATGGGGAAGTGTGTGTGTGTGTGTGTGTGTGTGTGTGTGTGTGTGTGTACACGTGTGTATGTATCAGTGTGTGCACTCCCTGCTTTAAATAAGGAGGTATCAAACGAGCAGAGACCTGAGGAAGTGAGGGGATGATGCCCTGGTATCTAAAGAAAGGAAGTCTTAGCATTAAGGAACCACTCAAAGGCCTGATGATGTGGCATTTCCCCACTAGCAAGGTCGGTCTGCTCTGCAAAGAGAGGCAACCGCACTGGTGATACGGGATGGGTTAGGGAGGCACCTAGGATCATCTAAGTCATTGGAGGCCCGACGGACCCCACAATAAGATATTTTATTTGCCTATGAGTAAAATGCCAAGCCATTGGAGGGCCTTGAACAGAAGCGTAACATGACATGATTCTTAAAGGCGCCAATCCTGCATGAAGTCTTTGGTTTGTTTGTTTGTCAATTTGTTTTTTGAGACAGGGTTTCACTCTGTGGAGCTGGCTGGCCTGGAACTCATGCTGTAGACCAAGCTGACCTGAGAGCTTCACTAGCCTCTGCCTCTCAATACTAGGATTAAAGGTGTGTGCCACCTATGTATACCACCATGCCTGGCTTGCACAAAGTCTTGAGGAGCAATGGCTGATGGAAACATAATTTGAGGGCCAGAGAGATAGCTCAGTCGGTAAAGGGCTTGCTGCATAAGTGTGGAACATGAGTTCAAGTCCCCAACACTCCCATGGGAAGACAGGTGGAGTGACTCAGGCCTGCAGTCCCAGCACTGGGGAGGTAGAGGCAGGAGGATCCCTGGACTTGCTGGGCTCAAGACCACCCAACTCAGTGAGCTCCAGCTTCAGTGAGAGACCCTGCCTCAAAAGACATCGTGTGGAGCAATGGATGAAGATGTTTGCTGTTAACCTCTGGCCTCTGTACATAGGCATGCACACACACTTTATCTCAGTTCCTTTTTTATTGCTGTGCTAGGACACCATGATCAAGGAAACTCCTAGTAGAGTTTATTGGAGGCTTACACTTTCAGCGGGTTTGAGTCTATGACTGTCATGATGGGGAGCATAGTGGCAGGTAGGTAGACATGGTGCTGGGGCAGTAGCTGAGAGCTTACATCTTGATCCATTAGCAGGGGGCAGGGTGGGTTGGGATGTGATGTGGGGAGGAAGAGATGGAGAGAGATAGAATATAGCTGAGAATGGTGAAGGTTTTTGAAAACTAAGTCTGCCCCCCAGTGATACCTCCTCCAACAAGGACACACCCCCTAATCCTTCCCAAATGGTTCCACCAACTGATGATCCAGTATTCACATATATGTGCCTACGGGGGTCATTCTCATTCAAACCACCACACACATCTTACACAAACACACACACACACACACATACACACACACATACACATACAATGAGCCTTAAGTGTGAATCATGTATGTCATTTATTTTTTAAAACTGGGTATGATGGCACATGTCTTTAATGCCAGCACTCAGTAGGCAGGGACAAGTGGATCTCTGTGAGTTCCAGGCCAGCCAAGTCTATGTAGTGAGACCCTGTCTCAAAAAAGAAAACAAACATACAAAAAACAGAAGCAAAAAAACTATTCACCAATCCCCCTGCAAACCCTATTTTCTATTTGTTGCATTAAAAGGAAAAAGAAATGGGAGAATAAGTATATTTGAGCTAACTTAATATATCTAAGTTGGTAACAGCTCAAAGCAATCTAAGTTATTATGGTATGGGTTTGTGTATCGTTTTAAATACACGACATTCTTGAAAGCTGTGTATTTTCGTTTTGTAGAGCATCATAAGCGTTCTGTGTGCTTATGTACGGAACAGGTCCACACTGTAGGGGGAAGGTGGAAGGGAGGTCAGCGGGGAGAATGTTCTCAGAAGTGTTTAGAATGACAAGGCAAGGCAAGGCTGGGGCAGAAGTAGCACGGGGAGGGCTGACCCAGAAGCATGGTGTCTGCTAATGTCCAGTGTGGAATTGTGGACTGACTCACTTCAGCTTCCTGAGGGAATGGAAACCTCAAAGGAGAATTATTCCAGGCTCCACAGGACAGTTGCTTGAAAGAAAATAATCCTGATGGAAATCTCTTCCTGACTTTGCTAGTGCTTAAAACTGTCCTGATAATGTCCCCACCCAGTGCCCAGAAAGCTCTGTCAGCATCCAGCAGCCTTCCCTAGCATTCTCAAGGTTTTCCCAGCATCCAGGAGCCTCCCCTAGCATCCTCAAGGTTTCTCCAGCATCCAGGAGCCTTCCCCAGCATCGTCAAGGTTTCTCCAGCATCCAGGAGCCTTCCTTGGAATCCTCAAGGTTTCTCCAGCATCCAGCAGCCTTCCCCTGCGTCTTCAAGGTTTCTCCAGCATCCAGGAGCGTTCCCTGGCATCCTCAAGTTTTCTCCAGCATCCAGGAGCCTCCCCTGGAATCTTCAAGGTTTCTCCAGCATCCAGGAGCCTTCCCTAGCATCCTCAAGGTTTCTCCAGCATCCAGGAGTCTTCCCTTGCACCATACACATTTCCCCAGCACCTGGGAGCCTTTCCTGACATCCTATAGGTTTTCCTAGCACCTAGAAACCGGCCACCCCACTACCCTCCCCACAGAACCTAGGAGCTTCCCAACATTTGGGAGACTAGATCAGAACCCTGGAGGTTCCTGAGATACTTAGGAAGCCCCTCGAGCACCCAGAAGCTTCCTCTACCTCTCCACCCCAAATTCTTACGTAAAACTTGGCTATCTTTACCAATGCTCTTGCCCAGGGCATCCTGGGGTGGGGGCCTGAGGGAGTGCCATCTGTCCCCGGAAGTCAGAGTTTTCTCTGTTCTGGCCTTGGAAGCGCTGTGTTTCTGATGAGTAAGGAAAAGTCAGCCATCTTTCCTTTGCCTTTCCGAGGGGAAGGATGCTGTGAGACTTTAGGGCCTTAGCTACTCCTGCCTCCATACCCCCTTCCTCCCACCACACAAAGAACAGCAATAAAACAAAAGCACACACATATTCACACATGTATGTAGGCCAAAGATGAATATATTAATAGCATATTTAATTTTTTTCTCCAACAAAGTTTTCCTCCTGATTTTAAGGAAATACAAAATAATGTCATTAGCCCCCTAAAAAGTACTGT